ACACACACACACACACACACACACACACACACACACACACACACACACACACACAATAAGTAATTCTGTGCGTCTCCTGGGGGCTAAGCCCCCCTTGTCTTTAAAACTCAGAGACACCCCTGTCAACTGTTAAGGCCAATATTTTAGGGGGAAAAAATCTACACAATGTTTATGTTGTGTTTCAGTTTCAGCTACTATCACATCATATTTCAGCTCAATAACTGCAAAATTAAGTTAGGTACAGCTGCTTTTGAGTTTTATTAAATCAGTTAGCTGCGGCAGCCATCTTTAATTGGATTAACTCCAAAAGTTAATAAGTTGTAGTTTAACATCCATTTATTATTGTCAATTGAGTTTCATTAACATTTGTCATGTGGTTTATAAGATATTTTGCTAACAGACAAAAATCACAAACAAAACATTGAGTTCCATTAATTAATGGATTTTACATTATTCACACCAGGAAATTAGTTTTATATTTTTGTTTTTATTTATTAAAATAAAGTGTTTGATACAAAATAAAAGCATGATTTAGATTTGTTTGGTCATCATAAAGTTGTATTATATTGTATCTGACAGATAAAGACGCACATCTCTTCAATGACGTGAAAATGATGAAGAAATAAAAACTTTAAGCTCCTGTCACGCGCTGCACAGAGAACACTTTCACTATTAGCACGTGGAGAGTCCGTTTGAAATGAGGAGGCACGAGGTTTTTCAGCAGAACAATCTCACCTGGAGCAGCAGGTCGGAGGGTCCACGAGGAGGGAAGTGTCCCCCCGCACAGACTCCGCAGGAATATGTAGCAGAAGAAAAACTCTCACACACACACACATACAAAAAAAATAAAATTAAAAATTAAAGTAGGCTACAGGAAAACGATTCGGAGATGAGACGTTTGCTCGCAGCCAATCAGAGGCCAGCATTACGTCACCTCAGAGTTCATTACAGGTCAAAAGATGCGCTGAAGCCGGAAGTCCGCATTTCTGCTTGTTGCGGTCATGAACTACACAGAAGATATTGCATTCACAAACAAACAAACAAACAAACAAACAAACAAACAAACAAACAAACAAACAAACAAACAAACAAACAAACAAACAAATAAATAAATAAAGTGAAACAGTTATTTTTAAACTGTTAGAAAGTGTAAATGCTGCCTGTGAAATGAAATGTGGACACACTGTATTCTTTTTGTTGACCTGAATTTAATAATTATCATTAACTGAACTTGAAAACTCAAGGAAAAGAGAAAACGTCACTTCCTGTACACTATTTACTGTATTTCCGGTTTAAATTACAGAGATGACAGCAAACAACTAGAAATATAATTCCATGAAAAAACGGTGAAACCCTGAGTCCACAAACTTTGTTTCACTGTAAAAACAAAATTGTTTTTCTAAAAAAACATGATTTGTTTGTTTTGTTTTACAATAAAAAAAGAGAGATAAAACAGTGAGAGCATTTGTTCGTCTGAACACCAAGTGTTTAGCTCCAACCACAGCTGATATTATTATTTTCATTTATAAAGTTGATGGGACTGCAGCCAGCCTGCCAGGACATGGCTGCAAGAAGCAATGCAACCCCGGGCAGACAGAAAAGATGGTAGAGTCAAGAATTAAACTCCAAAACAATCCAAGAGGGGAAAAAATGTCACATTATTTATTTATTTATTTATTTATTTATTTATTTATTTATTTATTTATTTAAGCAGATTATTATTATTATATAGTTGAAGGAACTAATTTCTCCATGTCTTTGGACAATTTTAGACCTCTGATATCTAAATTTGAATCTGGCAGTCGGTCATTTTCTGCTGTAAATGATTAAAGATGAACAAACTCAGGCTGACAAAGAGGTTGTTGGTTTAACTCCTCAGGCTGCAAACATTAAATAAAACCACGTGTTTGTCTGTTAAACTGATGATAAGTGAATTTATGAGGCTGTAAAAAGTGGAAGTCAGTTAAAAACATCACTGTCCTCTTTGTGCTGCAGGACCAAACATCCACACAAGTTACTACTTTAGGTTTGAAGTGACTTTAATCACCTGAAGTCTGAAAGAAACCAGTTTGTTTGATCTTTAACCAGTAAAATGATCTGAAACTCTGCAGTGAACACTTAAAAACAAATGTTTCTCTAAAAATATATAAATAATAATAATAATAATAATAATAATAATAATAATAATAATAATAATAATAATAATAATAATTTTCACCCTGTTAGCAGCTCAGTCATAAAAGGCTGTTGTTTAAATTGTCAGCATTCTTAATAAAACAGGCAGAAACAGAGAAATCCTCAGATCTGAAGTGAAGAAGCTGGAAGTGTAAACTGAACTCTGAGGTCTGAGAAAAAAAACTGCTTCTTTTAGATGCTTTAATGTGAAACTGGGTCAGAATAATACGGTTTGTTGAAACAAAAGAAATGAAAAAAATATTTGGAAAGTTTAGACAACTTTTATTTGGTGGAAACATCTTTTAAAATCATCAAACTTCAAGTAGGATTGTATAAAAACTGTTACAGCGTTTAAATTTACACTTCAGTCATTAAAGCCAACTTTGTGAGACTTCTGATCTGAAACAACCAGGAGGTTTTACTAAATCACTTGTGTCTGTGGAGGAAGCTCCTGCTTTATGTTCATTTTTCAGATTCATGTGACATCAAGTTTCTGAATCAGTGAATCAGTGAATCAGTGAATCAGTGGGTCCATACTTCCCTGCGTTTTCTCATCATCAACACATGAAGCTCTGGACCCCCGGGGGTCTGACACTAATAATGTACAACAAGTTCATTGTTCATGGAGTTTATAAAGGGTCGCACACAAACTAAATTCCTGGACATTTTTATATAACCCCCTAGATCCAATTCAATAAATATTTTCTAAAAATCTTAAATAAACTTTAAACATTAATTTTGTCCCGCTGACGTTCCTGAAAGTGGAACTGACCTCGTTAAACTAATTCTGCTGTTTCCTCTGTTTTAACCACAAGTTGATTTACGACAACCTTTTCTCTCTCTGATTCACAAGTCTTTCACTAGTAGGCAGCCGTGTGTGTGTGTGTGTGTGTGTGTGTGTGTGTGTGTGTGTGTGTGTGTGTGTTGCTGTGACAGGAAAGGGGGGGGTAATACAGATCAGTGGTTAGCGGTGTGTGTCTGCCCGTTGCCACTCAGTCTGTGAGAGTTTCAGTGAAACAGGAATCTCCCTGCCAGCAGCAGTTTGAGTTAAAACTCACCACTAATCATGGACTAGGCATGGGTCCGTAGACCTCAAAAACCCACCATTACTGTGGTTTTGTGTTCACACATGCGCTCACTTTCAATACTGAGTGTGCCTCCTACGGAGGTTGTGGGGGGACATGGGGGATTTTTGTTCTTTTGCGTTCCCTTATCTTTGCGTTATCTTGTTGTGTGGTGAGAAGGTGTTTTCACCATCACCACTGTGTGAGCACCAGGTGTTGCTCAGAGCGCAGCACTGATTGATGGGCGTGGCAGATTTATTATATTTGGGCAGGTTGCAGCTCCTTGAGTGAGACAGCAGGAGGTGGACGTTGCTTCGGTCAGTCGTGGTGAAGAAAGAGCTGAGTCTAAAGGCAAAGCTCTGGAGTTACTACGTTCCAACCCTCACCCGTGGTCATGAGGCGTGGATCGGGACCCAAAGAACCAGATCCTGATACAAGCGGCCGAAATGAGCTTCCTTCGTAGGGTGGCTGGCCTCAGCCTTAGAGAGAGGGTGAGGAGCTCAGAGTAGAGCCAATGCTCCTCCTCATCAAAAGGAGTCAGTTGAGGTGGCTCATCTGATAAAGATGCCTCCAGTGGTGGGCACCAGTCCGCTAAAGCGCAAATCCGCTAATTGTGGACCTAAATATTTCATTTGCACTTTAGCGGTCTTACTAATTTTATAATTCATAAGCAGATTTGTGCTTTCTTAAATTAAAATGCAGTACGGCTAATAACTAATTATCTACCAGTCATCATTATGTTGAACAGCAGAAGGTATGYCTGTCAATGAATCACAACACACAAGATCTATCCAACAGCACCCCTCCCAGATAAACACAGTTGTTGGAAATGTATACATCTTTGCTGACTGTTGCTTTCGGCCATGGTTCTGATTTCCCACAATGCTTTGTGTCTGCTTACGTAGCAGGAAGATAATGTTTAGAACTCCCTTTCCCAGCAAAAACAGTAAACGTTTGTAATCCACACTAAAATTTTTTATGTATCGATTTATTTTTCTTTACAATCGGAGCTCCTTTAAAAAAAGTTTAAATGCTGGAGCTCAATACTTGACGAAATTGGTCGAAGCAATCCGCCAACGGGGTTAGAGAGACATCTAGTGGTCAACTGGAGCAACTACATGGAAAACGTTTGTTTCCCGTCACAAATCAAATCCGTCATGTACCCAGAATGCATCGCTTCAGGTTTCCAATAAACAGTTTTAAAATTGCTTTATTGATGCTTCTTTAATGAAAAAGATGGCGGCCGTGGCAGAGTGGTTAGGGGAGTTGCCCTGGGACCAGAAGCTTGCCGGTTCAATCCCCAGCAGCTGTTTCAGTCGTTGTGCCCTTGGGCAAGACACTTCACCCACCTTGCCTGCTGATTGTGTTCAGAGGGTCCGGTGGCGCAGTATGGCAGCCCCGCCTCTGTCAACCTGCCCCAGGGCAGCTGTGGCTACAATGTAGCTTACTATCATCAGTGTGTGAATGAATGATCCATGAAAATTGTAAAGTGTCATTGAAGGTCTTGAAAAGTGCTACATAAGACTCATGGATTATTATTACTATTATTAAAAATCTACAACAAAAGAAAAAGACAAAGAAGCAGCCGAACTAGCAATCCTCAACAACTACTTCATTTTTACACCAGGAGCCAAAGTTCTGGTTCAGGAAATCAGATCCCCAGCAATCTGCGGTTGTAGGATTAAGCTGTACAAGGGTTCTTACACCACTAGTTGGCATTGTTGTACATGTATTGTACATGACTTGTTGCCAGCTAGTAAGTGTCAAATTGAACTTGCAGTTTAATATTAGCTCCTGCTAATTTTGTGTTTTTGTAGTTGCGGACCTAAATATTTTCATAAGCACTTTAGAAATTGCGGAGCTAATTTTTAGGTTAGCGCTAACCACCACTGGATGCTTCCTTTAGAGATGTTCCACACATCCCACTGGGAGGAGAACCCGGGGAGGACCCAGGTCTCTCTGTGGGGACTATGTATCCTCTCTGCTCGGGAACATCTTGGGGTCCACTGTTCTGACTGAGTGGCTCACTTTGGAGTGGTTTTTCTCTCTTGCAGAGTTGTGGGAGGAGTTAAAAACCAAACAAGTTTAAAATGAATTGTTTTTATTTCTGTGTTTACAGCATCGTGTTTGGTGCAGGAGCAGTTAGAGGCAGAACAATCACATGGCTGTTTTTATATCTGAATGTTTTTACAGTAAAATAAAATCAGCTCTGCAGGACTTCCTGTGTGTGTGCAGGCCTCAGTCTGCAAAGCAACATGATCGGTTCTTTCACCATGTAAATCAAACAGTTCCTCCAAGAGGCCTGAACAAAAACCACAAACCTTCAGATTGATGTGTGGCAGCTCCAGACCTGAGCTCAGTACTCATTGTTGGGTTTGATCAGCTTTTTAAGTGAGGAGGAAAAATATGCATAATGTTTTATTTTGAAGGGACGTTTAAAAGAGTTAATCAATAAAATCTGGTCAGAATTTGATTTAAAGTAACCTTTTTTATTGTAGCTGCAGATTCTGAGGTAAAAGATCAACATATTGAAAAATAAAACCTGAACGAACAGAACTTTTAAACACCATCAGTCTGGATCATTATTGAAACTTTTATTAAAACTCTGCACTAAAAGAACTGTTTAGCAGCTTTACTTTGTGTTTTTGTAATAA